TTTTTCTTGTCAATGTTTTCAAGAGTCTGGACTCTAGATCCAATGTGTTTTTTTTCAAGTGTAGAAAGAACAAAAATAGCCTAAAAAGATCGTATTCGATAGTGGCTCGAAGTATCGTTTGGTTCAAAACAATAGAACGTAACCTCAAACAAAAATTTTTGGATTGAAGTAAGAAAAGCTGTAAATAAGAAAATTCATTACAATTTTACTCGTAGAATACATAGAGTCGTAATGTAAATGGGAGAGCTGGCGCCATGTTCTGGTCGACGAGTTCCGAACCCGGTGTGCGCCGAGCTTTGGCGACTTTTCCGACACATTTTCGATCCAAAATGGCGATGTAAAATACGTAGTAATTCCTATCCTCTTCGTTTACGTCAGATGGCCGGGTCCCTATGTATCTAAAACAATCGATTATGTATCTAAAAAGTGACCCGGCATGACACCGGAGTCTGGGAATTCGCGACTGAACACAGGGGAGAATTTCATGAGCGCCGCCGCCCGCGGCGCACCATGGTCCATAACTCAAGGATAGGAAGAAATAAGTCGGATAATGACTAAAAGATCACGAAAGTTTCGGAATCGATGTTTTTTTGAGTCGCTAATCTTGAATTTGATGTCAAATTGCCTTCATTTTAACACCCTGATCTGTTGATTGAATGCAACGCTGCGGCGCGGCGTGCTGCCAGCTCGAAATGCACTCTGACGCCTACAAACCTAAAGGGATACTTCAAGCATTGCGCAATGCGTCAGTGCGCGTTTCGCTCTGGTGGCGCTCCCGACGCGGGCGGGTGGATCGGGTGATGAGCGAGAGGCAGTCCGTAAATGATTTCAAATACCCAAGGAGATGAAATGAGGAGGTGCAGTTTTTGCAATTTCGAGAAACATGTGTTGGAAGTTTCGAAATTACATGGATCCTTATGGAGGACCTGTATGGACCTGATATTTTAGTCTGATTAGGCAGTTTTCTACAAGTTTCAAGAAGTGCATCCATGAACCTCTTTACGGGATATTTTTGACCGAAACATCCCCTTCCCTTAGCCGACTAAAGTCTGTTTTCGTCATCATTATGACAAATTAAATTTTCTGGCGATTAGCAACCAGAATCGACGTTTCATCATCAATCCTTCATCCTCAAATTTTAATAATCAGATACTTTTTGGACAAACTGCCTGCTGCGTATCATTTGTTTCGATTTCAACGCCTCCACTGTCGACCAGCCGACTGCTCAGCGTATTTTTCACTGTCCAGTGAACATTTCTCACGGCGCCGTAATCCTCATTCGACCCGATGATCATCTCAAATCCGTATCAGTTTTGCTCGAATCATCGGATTTTGACCTGCGATTCGATTCTTGAATCGTTATCGAATGATCTTTATCGATTCATCCCTATCTCATCAATGATTCCTATCGATCGAGTACACTCGACAGAAATTCGATTGCCGATCCGCTTAAAATGCTCTCGATTGCTAAGACGCCAAGCGTTACACGACGCACAGTGGACCGAGTCAGTTGGAGAGATCGGACAAAATCTGGAAACTTTAAACGCCTATAACTCCATTTATACAAAACTTTGAAGTTCTAAAAGTGGTTCCATTGGTTTCCTCGTGAAATTTTCTGCGGTCAGGACCCCTTAAAATCTAAAATGTGACGTATTAAACATCAAAATTTGCAGGTTTAGTCTAAAATTTCATGTCCGACCTTTCTAATTGACTCTATCCACTGTGCGCCGGCTGAAGTCTCATGTAATCAGAGTCACTGGTGGAAGCGTTTCCGCTACTTTTCGTTGGAGTATACTGCTCTGCTATATGCCGAGAACACTGTTTATTATGGTTATTTGGAGTTACTTTTTTGTCGGTCTGATCGACTCTAAGGCCTTTGGTTCGATCGACCGTAACTGCAGGTTACATTGAGGCATTAGGGGATGAAGAAAATGTCTGCTAAACTAATGTACTCATGTTTCTCTCAATGTCGCCCAGAGGTTGCGACTTGCGAGTAGCTCGCGCAATGCACTCTTACCAGGTTTAATCCTGGATTTTTAACAAGGCTGCAAATTTTCAAGCCACAGATTTGGTCAACGTAACCCAAGGAAAAATGAACTAAAAATTATTAACCACACGCATATCGACGGTGTAAGTCGGCAACCACATAACTCGGTTTGCGACGTCGCAGGCTTCCTGTCATACTTTATTTTTTAAACGGAGAACTCCTCAACGGCAATTCTTTAAAACTGTCATGATTTTTCTTCTCTATGCGAAGAAAATTCTGCATAAACTTCAAGAAACAATGTCAATTTGTTCTCCTTTAAAAAAATGACATAGAGGCGGAGATTTTCAGACACCGCAAACGATGTGATTGCCGACTTACACTGTCGATATGTGTTCCACTTCCCATTTTAAAACAAAATATTGGTTACTTTTTCTGGGACTGTTTTTCATGTTTTTGTGAGGGCGAAAAATGTTAACTTTTAGCGTATGCAACACGATGCTATAGTGATATAAGTACACCCGCTGATCTCAGTTGCAAATTTTCAATCCAAAGATTTGGTCAATGTCACCAGATGAAAAATTACCCAAAACATATTAACCACACGTTCAGATGAACAAAAAATTTCGGTTACTTTTTCTCATTGTGCACTCTCATAATTGGACGTATTAAATCAAAAGGAACTATTTATCAATTATTGTGACCTGGGCTCTGAGACCTATGAGTGCATATGCACGACAAGGCCCATGTCACAATATAGATGGTTCCTTTCGATTGAAGCACGTCTAATTAACAACTTCCAACGAGCATCAACAATAAATACCTGGACTTCTTTTTTTGAACTCATCACAGTGTCGCAGTCTCTGAACCTCAATGAAATTATCCCACAACCCTCCTAGCGTCTCATTGGCGGATTTGCGGTTCGAACACCGTCGGGTTGAATTTCCAATTGTTGATCATGCGTGGGATTCGATTAAAATATCAAATTACTTCAAGTTTTTTCGCACTCTATTCGCCTGTCGAGACGGATTAGCACTTTCGATTCCAATTTCGGAATCAGTTCGATGTTTCTGCGGATGTGGTGAACCATTTCTCAGCGGACTCGGAAAAACGTATTGACTTTTAACGAGTGGTCGTCTTCTAAGGCGTAACATGCGTTGACGATGATAACTGTATTTGTAAGGTGATAAATTGACCGAAATTAATATCTAAATAATCCCTCTAATCCTATATAGAGTTACTCGTATCGAAATTTCGTAGATCCTCAACGATCATTTGGACGTATTTTTGTCAAACGGAACTATGTGCACTATGACGTGAGCCCTATTATGAATGTATTCTTATGGATCTCAGGGCTCATGTCTTAATGCACATAGTTTCGTTTGATGAAAATACGTCCATTTCAAGCTTTTCTCTTTTCCTGATAAGTTGATTTTCTCAAAGTGAATCATCTGCAGTCACGTTTCCTTCAAAACGCATGTTCCCTTCAAAATTTTCTCCCAACGATCGGCGAGAGGCTCAACATTGAATTTTGCTCGAGAAATTGATACATTTTATTGGTATAACAATTGGACTAGGTATATTTTGCATTTAGGACCTACAAATCGTGGGTTGGTTCAGATTCCCTATGCACATTAGTGTTATTACGGATAAACCAGGTATTGTAGTTCCTGTAACTGCAAAATGGAGTCCATCCATTTTTGGTCTCTGTATAGCAGTATCCGGGCATTCAAACCGTGTTTGTTTCACGTGCGGAGCATGCAAGTTTTCTTGTTTGCTAATCAGGAGTTTCATTCATCAGAAAAAGTTCATTTAATTTCTTAAAGTTTTCATGTTAATCATAATTTTTTTAAAACGGAAACTCCCATTGGTTCTGATCTTTTACGTCTAGAGTTTACTTATTTTTTAACTGCTTTGGAGAGAGATCTGATAGGAATGACGCGGATTAGTAATACAATCCACAGAAAGTATCGATCATCGATTCGCCTTCATTTCACAACGTAGGCCAAACAATTTCCTCAGAGCTGTTATAGTGGTATCTTTTGTTTAATGAGCTCCGGATCGGGTACGTATCAACTTGTGGAAGAAATTGATGTATTCATGCTAAAAGGAATCCACAGAACCCCTATGGCACCCCCTACGCACATAGTTTCTTTCAGCATAAATACATTCAAATAGCATGAGCCTTTTTGAAAGGAACCAAATTATGTCCGAAGATCGAACTGGGATATCGTATAGGTCAAATTTTTACTCCTTCTTAAGACTCAATGTCAGATGAACTCAGAAATCAAGTTCAACGCCAACATTCAAAATATTTTTCCATAATTTGAATTTACGATAGGAGAAAATATCCATGCGGCTAGTGAAGCTCAAAACTACCCCTAACTAATTTTTCTCCAATATTTGACTCGATTATTTTCCCTTCTATTTAATTTAATTTAAAAGGTAAGAAATTGCGGTCGCTTAATTGCTAGCCTCATTCGTAGTATCCTTAATTTCTGTGATTAAATTCGGTGTAAACAATACAATACACCAGAGGAATGTTGTTAGGTCGTTAATAATGTCGTCAGCCGCATTTTTGATGGCACACGTCAAGCAGGCAATGTTCTATTTGTAATCAATCCAGACCTCCCTGTGTGAATCCTTGCTGAATAGAGCTGATGTAACGCACTTGATTTTAATGAAAGTTAGTCTGACGCTATCCACTTAAAATGTTTTCTTTAAAAAATCGTCTGGCGATTGATCAAACTTCAGTGAAATTAGACTGATGTCATTATTGTGACTAGTGTGAACTCAGACGTTAGTTTAAATCAAAAGAGTGACGTACTCGCTTAAAGTAGTCTTGCTCCGTATTGTATGGCCAGCGTATGAATTTGCTTCTTCCTCAAAAAAATGTATCAGAGAAAAGGGCAGGATTTCCCTGTCTCTCTCTACTCCGACGTGAAATTTTAGTAGTCTTAATCATGTCAAAATTTTCAAACACTTCTGCCATTAAAAGAAAAAAAAAAATACTTACCAAAGCAAGCAAGTACCTAGGTTTTGAGGAGAAACGCCGTGTGTCTATATTCACTGTAATAACGGACCAAAAAATTCCGAGTGGAAACAAATTATTTGTCCACGCACTGAACTCTCTTCCTAATGTGAGTCATTTCCTGAGATCAGTTCATGCTCTCGCTGTAACATGATTAATTGGTGATGTGTTGAGCTATAAGTTTACCGATGCAGATCTAATCAAATAATCTTTCTTAGTAATCTGATCAACCCGACATTTATGGGTCATCGCCGGGCAAAGGAAATGCTTAGCAAGTCGCTTATCAGGTCATTTTTGGACGTGAGAAAAATGCAGGGTGTCTAATGATTCAGAAGACTCGGTGTCACATCCATGCAACGTTCTAAGTTTTTCATCCATCCTTTTCTTACACATTTCTTCCATCTCTCTCTTAAATTCTCAGTTTTCAACTTTTCGAGCCTCACTCCGATTTTTACAACCATCTAATTCATCTAATTAATCTAATCAGTGTAACGACAAGCTGATGCAATGTGAACCGTTATTTGCTCATGCTCTTCCACGCCTCGTAAGGGCTAGAGTCCCTTTATACGGAGAGTCAAGACAATTCGGCTCATGGATGTCACAAACGGGAATAAAGATTTCAGAAATTGAACGTTTTTCGTAATCTTTGATCGGCCCATTCTCAAATGCCTTTCTCCGTTCCTCCTCTCATTCCGTTTGTTCCTTGCCGAACCCGTAATTCCCTGGTCCATTCCAGATTATAATCTTTGCAATTGGTGAAAATGTAATCTTTATTCCCGTTTGTGACACTGTGGAGGCCTATAATACGGGAACCAATCAGAAATGGATTCAAATTGTCTTGACTCTCAGTATAAAGGGACTCTAGTAAGGGCTGGAGAGATTTCTGTACACTTACTTCGATTCTTACCATCCTAACGTAAGCCTCGTGCTATATTCTTTTCGCTCAATCAAAGTCTCAGTCAAATCCTATTGTTAGTAGTTCTGAATAAAGCGTCCGGTATTATAACGAAGTTCGACTCATCTATTTGCTTAATTCTGCTCTCCCACAATTTAATATTTTTCGTGCGCGTTTAGTTGGGCTCTTAAACGTCTCAGTCCGTTTAACACCCTGTCCCAACGCCGAACGCGACACTCGGAAAAAGTACTAATTTTTTGAAGTGGGCCCAGAATTACTTAGAGAGTACCAATACGTGTTTCATTCGAAAAACTTGGCTAAAAAGTCCGGCAGAAAGAAATGACGGGGAGCCGCGACAGACCAATTTTAATCCCCCCCCCCCCCNAACTGAAATTGTTAATACCTCTCAAACCTAATTTTAAGAACTTTTAATAACACTTACGCAGCAAAGCTTATTTTAATATTTGAAAGTAAATAAATACCTCTAACTGCTTTGGCAAGGATATCTATAGACACTTTGCAGAACCCTATGACTGAACTCTCAAACCTCGTATAGCCTGTGTCACAATATCAAAGTACTCCATCAAAATATGTCGAGGTCAAGTGCTGTGATTGGTCCAAGTCATCGAATAAGCCAATCACAACACCTGACCTTGATATTTTGATGGTTATCTTTGATAGTGTGACACAGGCTTATCTCGGTTTGCGGCATTGCAGACCTGTCGTATTTTATTTTTTTAAACGGAAAACTACTCAATGGCTATTTTAAAAAAATGTCAAGGTTTTTCTTCTCTGTGCGAAGAAAATTTTATGAAAACTTCAAGGAATGATGTTGGTTTGTCCACCTGTAGAAAAATCCAACGCTAGCGAAGATTTTTAAATGCATCGCAAACGAGACACGTGGTTTGGAATTTTCACCGTCGATATGCTTTGTTTTGATTCTGAAAAGGAAAAACTACGCAGAATAACGTGTGCAGTGCTGAACTGAGAGCTGATGATGAGTTTCGCTCTAAGTTACGCCGCGGAGGGTGTCGCGAAAAGTTGTATTTTGTTGATGAAATGAAAGGAAAGCGGAAGAAGAAATAAACTGTCATCTTGCGGCGTTGTCACCCTTGAAAAAAATGTCAATTTAGACCCACCCTCTCCATCGCAATGGGAACTCGCTAATGGGTTTGTTCGCGGGGTTGATCGCACACCTAGCCGCCGATGAGGGTGAAAATAGAAAGGAGGGGAGGTAATCTTCACAAGAATAAAAAGCCCACCCGAAACATATGGTTCTGAAAACATTCTCTTTTTATGCATACACGTCGTCCCTCTGCGTTCTATACAATATTGTCGTTCTTTATTTATGTGTATTTGACCACATCAGAAAAGAAATCTGCGATAATTATAAAGGATAGAAACTATATTTAAAAAGTATTTTACGTTAATAAAAAATAATACATGTAGAGATCAGGGCCGGATTAAGGGGGTGGCCTCATGGGCGGCAAATTTTGCAATTTTTTTAAATGTAGGTATTAAAAAAACGGATTCAGAACAAAAAAAAAATTATCAATGAGAAAAGGGGACAAAATCTCTCTTTCCCTAGAGTATGGTAATTTCTAATTTTGTCGTTTTTCGGTGATAAAAGAGACAGCATCTTTAATCAGTCGAGTTAAGAGAGGAACTAAACATGCAATTTTGCCTGGAGCTCAACGCAGAGAGGAATGATGACGAGGACTTTAGATGAAAGGACAAGCCCTCGGCGCGGCGGTCGGCATGTAACACATATGAGCGCCTTCAAGATTGCATGAATACTTCACCCATTGCGTCAAACACAGTGCGGTCAGGAGCGGTTTGCGTGAAACGCATAGCGTTTACAAGACTGCAGGAATACTTCACGCATTGCGCCAAACACAGTGCGATCAACGCGGCGCAGCGGCGGAAGTTAGCATTATGTTTGTTCTTTCATAATTTTTTGTTTCAACTCTTATAAATGGAGGACCTTGTCCACACAGAGATAGGTTTACGGAACTTAACTTTCAGGCAAAGTTCCGTGAAATTTTACCAGTAGTGCTGGCAGGGCTTTCGCAAAAAATGTAACCAACACGAGTAGGTAAACGCGCTATATGCCCCCCTCCCCCTCCGACACGTTCACTTGATGGTTTTTATTGATGTTTCAAAACGAATGAGAAGGGGGCGGTGAGTAAATCCGGTCCAGTAGAGATACCCTAATCAACAAGAAAAAATCTAGTCTCAAGATCTTGTTTCATAGAAACAAGTATTTATTTGTTTTAATTAACAAGTTGTATGTACCAATGATCCAAAAAAACAAGAAAAAAACAGGACTGGCACCTCTGTTCACGGAGGCAAATTGCTTTTTAAGTCGGGTCGAATAATTCGATTTTGAGATTTCGACGAAAAACTATCCAATGCTCCAAAGAGAGGGTTGCGTTTATTTTGTTTCGGTGAATATGCGAGGAGAGAAAAAAAATGTACAGCTGCTGCAAATACAGCTCTTATTTTACTTTTTTGAACGAAAATATATTCTCAGTTTTCCTTGATTATCTGCGAATTTTCCTCATTCATTCTCAAATATTCTTAGCGAATTCGAACAATATATCGATGTCCACAGTGCGAAATCACTTACTTATCTCCGCTTGCGACGTTGTAGACTTCCCGCCAAACCAGTGGCGTGGCGTGAATTGCGATATATCGATTGTTGTGCCATTTAAACCTATGGTAAAGAATCGATTATTAACGTGTTTGCTGCGAACACCCTATTTATCGATCCTTTTCCGTAGGTTTAAATGGCATAACAATCGATATATCGTAATTCACGCCACGCCACTGCGCCAAACCTCCTTTTTTTCTTCGGAAAACGAGCCAACATACTTTCTGGAAGACTCTCTTGATTTTTCTACTCTGTCAGCGGAATATTCCGTATTTTCAAGCCATGAAGTTGGCTTCTTTCCCTTCGAAAACATGAAATAGTAGCGGAAATTTTGAAACTCAGAAATTGAGATACGTCGTCTTGCTCTTCGGCCATCGATCTTTTTATTAGTTTCTTTTTGTAAAAAAGAAAAAACTAGAAAAGGTAAAACATCATCGGAGATTTTGAAAGGCTGCAATGGGAATAGGAACTTTTCGACCGGAACGGTGGACACGTCATTATTGCCAGATAGTGCTGAGAAATCAGCACTTTTCTCCGTTTAAACCCATGTGAAGCAGGGATGCAAAATCTTCCAAGCTTCTAAAACACGCGCCCGCCAGCCAGCTTTCCACATTTTTCTTATCAGTTTTCCACGAAATTCCCCACCAATCTCAAAAAAGATGACACTTTTCTTCTGTTTTCCTTCGATTTTCGACTTTTAGTCCCTCAAAATGTTCCCTCCCAGGGTGGCAAAATTTCATGAAAATTAAAATATTGAAATTTCACGTGAAATATCTCATGAAATTCTAGAAATTTATGAAAGATATTGAAAAATACCGGCGCCTTTTCAAGTTTCGCAAAATTAAAAAATTGCGACTTTCTTCTATTTTTGTGTGTTTTAGTGCGGGTTGTATACCCTAGCCTCTGAAAAATATGAAATATTTCACAGCCTCGTGAAATTCCATAGAATAGGGTGTCTTACAAGTCCGGAATTTCCGGAAATAGTACTGAATTTTTAACGGCGGTCCGAAAGTACTGGAAAAGTGCGGAAATTTCGCAGAAAGGTCCGGATTTTTGTTTAATTTTTTGTCATTTTTGTCGCTATTTCAAATTTTTGAAATTCTTCGAATTTCGCCAAATGGAGGTACTGAAAAAGTACGGAAATTTTCTGTTGGAGGAGGTACTGAATTTCTTGATAAGGCACTGAATTACTTGATAAAGTACTGTGAAAGTACTTTTTTTCGATCAGTCTGTTTTAGTAGACACCCTGTGGAATATTTCACTGAAATTTCCAATCTTTCATTTCTTTCTTATGTTTCATGCCACCCTGTTCCCTCCCCCCACATTTTTGGGGCTTTTCCACATTTTTCTACGCCCAGGCGGGCGTGTGATCGGGCATTTTCTGAATGCCTGAAGTCTCTAAATTTCATCGAAAAATTTGGCAACGTTGGGGCACATGACCGACCGCGGAAATTAATCTCACCGGGCACGGCTCCAAAATCAGGAGGGATCCCCGAGTTCCATCCCTGCCCCGCCCCAACCCGCCCGCGCGGGGGGTGAGCCTTCGTCTCGTCTTCGT